CTGCAGTTATCCATACAAAATAGACAATTGTTAATACTTCACTTTTTTTCCCATTAGGGGACCTTGCCCTGTCTGAGAGAGCAAGTCCCTGTAGTGATACCGGCAATTCTGATGAGGAAGATGATGATAAAGATGATGTTCAAAGCCAAGCCTCTGCTTCATCAGAGGATTATATCATTATCCTCCCGGAGTGCTTTGACACCAGCCGTCCTTTAGGGGAGTCCATGTATAGTTCAGCTCTGTCTCAGCCCAGCTTGGAGAAGGCAGGAGAACCTGAAACAGGGACAGAGAATCCGAAAGGGGGAAGCCAGTCAGAGATTCAGCGTGTCAGTGATACTCTGACAACCTCACAAACACTGGCTGTGGTGCCACTGACCCCAGAGGCTGCGGACACCTCGCCCCAGACGCAAAGGTACGCTTGTTGGGCAGGAACAAAAGGGTTGTGTTGGCGTTGCTGTAGTCTGCAGGGTGTTGGCCCAGGCTCAGTGCCCACACTGAGGTTGTTGCAACAAAAGTTTTGTCATGTACTGGAGCAAACTTCCTAAATCCTGCAACTTTTCCTAAAACCTGTACTCACTGATGAGGTGAGTACGAGAGTGGGAAGGAGGGGAGCGTGCGAAGTTTTTCCTTTTGTCTATTGTTCATGACATACCTACATGCGTACGTGCAGAATGAAAGTAGTAAAAGCAATTTGTTTTTTTGCCTTATGTTCTCAGGAATCTTGCATCTCTTCAGAATGGTGTCTTCCAAGAACCAAGCCTATCTGCTTCAGAGAATGTTTCTTCTAGGCCTCATAATCATACAAGAGAAGGTATGGACAGTGCTTGATGAAGGGTGCATCCTGTTGCTATTGCCTACTCCTTGTGCCTAGTATTGGATTTGATGTCTTGTCCTTGAGGAGAGAAGAAGCATACCAAGTAGTGATTGTTTTTTTCTCTAGGTGTTGAAATTTTACTACACAGATGATTTGAATAAAGAAATAATTGGCTTTTAAGAGCCAGTTGGCTCTTAAGAAATGGTAGGAGAGTACTCAGAAGTATTTGTAGACATCTGGAAAATTGCCTTGCTCTGGAATGAATGAGCTATGTACTTAAGCTGTGACAGTCACTGGGAGCTCAGACAGCAGTTCATCCCGTGTTAGAGGAAACACCCACTGACTAATTGGCCAGATGACTTCTGAAATTCTTTTGACTACAGTGAGAATCCTATATACCTAGTTTGTGTCTGGATAACTAAACTTGAAAGTATTCATTTTGGACTGAACCCCATTCATTTCCATTTATGTACGTGTAGCATTTCTTCAGCTCTCATTAACTGGACATGTTGATAATTTTTTCTTCCTCTTCCAGAACCCAGTGGTGAAGACAGTCACAGACCAGGATCTTCTGGATTTCTAAGTAGTAAACAGAAGTGCTCAGAATACCCAAGGTAATGAAGCTGAAGCAGTGACTTCACAAATACTGTTTTAAACTGAGAACTGCTGAATTGGGCACCTAGGAAAAAGCACTGGTTTACAGATTTGATGTAGTCAGTTTTGGAGAAAGGCCTGTCTTAAAGGAAACACATGCTGAATTATATAATGCTACATTTTCATAAGATCTCGGTTTCTCTTTAGACCTGAATATGAAGGATGAAGACTTGGCAAGCAAAAGTGTATGAGGAGCTCAAACTGAATCTTTAAATTCTGTGGGTTTTTTTTTTTTTTTTTTTTTCTGGAAAATCTCAGGATTCTTAAAATAGGGATTGTGTAATTTAGCTGCAAAGTTTAAGCATCTTAAGATACTGAGACTGGAGGAATGAGACAAAACATAGAGCAGAATATTAAGTGACTTCAGAATTGGTAAACAGAAGTTACTCTGACCTGAATGGATATGTCACAGTGCATAGCTTTCATGTATAGATGCACTCTTCTGAGCGAGAATACTTAATCCTTGATAAAAGGTTACGTTATGGAAGGCAGACTAACGCACCTGAGCATACAACCACAATTTAGTCAAGAAAGAAGGCATGAGCTTCCTACATAGCTCAGCTGCTGAAAAAGGGTCAAAGGTAGTTGTCTCCACAAAAACTAAATCTCAGTTGGCCCATCAACGGGGAGAGACTTGCATTTCATGTGGAGCAAACATGTGGCTTTATTGACCTTGAAGTAATACCTGACTTCTCTGCAGATACCCTCAAGGAAGCAGCATTGCAGGAGAACTGGTTAAAGGAGCTTTGTCGGTTGCCGCTTCTGCCTACAAAGCATTGTTTGCTGGACCACCCATTATAGAACAGGTACATGTCTGTCTTGTGTGCTATGAGTTTCATAGAACGTCAACCTGAAATTGTAGGTGTATGTTTTTTTTAAATGTATCAGTACTCTGCATAGGGCTTCATGGCACAGTGAAATGTTAAGTCTGATGGCATGCTTTGAGGGATGCTGCTTGACCAGCGGATGGGGAAATCCATGGCATGTCTTGGTGTCATATAGGAGTAGTAATTCACCACTGAAAGTGAACATAAACAGCTTAATTGTGGACAAAGGGGCTTCTGCGCCTCAACTGTATTCCAGTTTAATGCAGGACCACTGCTTCATGTGGCAGAAAGTTCATCTTTTCATGGCTTATCTTACTGCCTTCTGTTTTCAGCAGCCTGCCGCGACAGAGGAGCACACTGCCACTCTTCTATCCAGTCTGTGTGAGATGGGATTCTGTGACAGGCAGTTAAACCTGCGGCTGCTGAAGAAACACAACAATAACATGGTTCAAGTGGTAACTGAGTTGCTTCAGATCAGTAACAGTGACTGGTACAGCAGCAGGTGCTGAACCTTCCTGGTGGAGGGGAGGATTTGTCCCCGCTGAACACTGCAGCAGTAGCAGGCTGCTCCTCAGCTGCTTCTGTTTGGGGGTGTGACTAAAACTTTGGCTTTTCTTTGAGCTTTTGACTTTTTTTTCCTCATGGAAATGTCAAACAGTGATTGTCACAGCATCTTATGAGTTGGAGACCAGAATTTCAACTGTTATTTGGACCTCACTGTTAAATGAGGAGCCTTTAAGTCTCTAATTTCATACTGAATCCTTCTGTCAGGGAATCCTGTAGAATCACTTAAATTTCTGCCCAGATGAGAACTTCCCCTTTTATTGCATGTAAGGTGGTTTTTTTTTTGTTTTTTTTTTAAGGCAGCTGGAAACTTGTTTTCTTGACTTTTAACAAGTTTTGGAATAGGAACCAATGTAAAATGCTGCTGTAAACTGTTGTCTTGCCTAATTTACAAGAGATGCCTAAAACTAGCAAGTTGTTTCTTCTGATATAATTTAGTAACTGATTTGTCCAATGCATGATAGTAACATAACAGACTAAAACCTTACAAATTATTCTTGGAAGAAAAAGGTTGTTCATACACAAAAGCCATCTTGAACCATGAAACAACTCTTGAAAAGCCTGAAAGTGTCACCAGGCATTAAACTGATGAATAACCGGAGAGTCATTGTTTCTTGTAGCTGAATGAAGCAGGAGAGTGAATTTACCGTCAGCGATTGAACCAGCTCTAGTAACAATAGTGCAAAACATCTAACAGGAAAATATAGCCTACATAAAATACCTTGTTAAAAATGGAGTTTAAGGGTAGGAAGGGACTAAGAATCTTTACAGGCTCTTTGTAACAATGTTAAACATTTGACCACTTACCAGTTATCACTGTAGTGCAAACCTCTTACTCTGTTAATACCACATAGAAGAATTGAAGAATGTGTAGAAACCCAGACCCGAATTGGAGTACAAATTCTGGTAATGCTTAGGAATGGGAAGAGTGCTTGAGGTAGGGATTGCGTGACTTACGTTATAGTTTGACAAATGGATTAATTTAAGCAGTTTTAAGTGTACAGTCTCCTGTGATGGTTCTAGCTGCTGTGTTTAGATAGACACATCTGTAGGATTAATTTTTCCTCAAGATTTTGCTTTAGATGCCCATATTTAATTTGGAAATCTAAGAATTCCCTTCTGAATGTGCTGAGAGAGATTTGATTTTGAAGAATCACGAGAAACGAGCAACATACACTGCTGTGCAGTGGTGTATCCATAGATAATTTTTCAGAGTCCAGTCCCTCTGAAGGTGACAGCAGTGTTGGCTACGTTCTTACTTTAAAGCAAACTTTTTTCCTTGCTGCAGTAAGAGACCATTGATCCTAAAATATTTTATATTACTGCTGCTTCAAACTAAGGTGTTCCTGTTTTGTCACGATGTAGCTGAAGCAGTGTAAGTATTGTGACTGACCAGGCGATCAGTAGTAGTAATTTTTAAAAAGACATTAATACCCTTAGAGATAAGATACCATTAAAATAATTGAAGAAAATGTATCATACCATTTTTGTTTTAAACCTATTTTTATAGATTGTGGAAGATATACTCTTAAATGTTTATTTTGAAATACAGTAGAACTATTTTGCAGTGTTTCCCATCTCTGTACACCAGTACAGCTGTCTGCTGTGGACCAGGTAAAGATCTTTCTGTAACTTGAAGCCACTGTGTTTTTCCCCAGCTCAGCCTAGTCGTTCTGCTCTGAGTACCTTTTGGCTTATGCCTGCTCTAGAACGAGGAGGAGGGAGGGCAGCAGCCCGTGACGTTTCCCACAGGGTGAGGTCATCTGCTCTGATCTGGGAGGCCCAGCAGGACACGTGTTCTTTCAGTGTGTACCTTCATACTTAGAATGTTCATGTGTTACATAAATTAACAAAACACTAAACTGTTTGAGGAACACTTCACTGCAGATTGAAATGTGAAGTGTGAAATGCTGTTTTCCTTAGGTTACTTTTTACTAGGATTTAGACAATGTATGCTCAGGCTTAAGATAGAGATATCTCTGTTGGCTTTGTATATTTTGTTAATGGATGCATGGTATAATTTATAATATATTCTAGAGCGCAGACATGATCTCTGTGTCTTACTTG